AGTATATATATAAAAACAAATATTACCAGAAAATTTTAATTGCAGTTTCTTAACATTGAGCAAAACAAATGGTAAATAGCTTGAACTTATATGATGTGTTTTCAAGCCCAAGGACTCCAAATCATTTTACATTATAATCATTCCAAAGGTTGTAAGCTACATTGTAGCCACAGCTGCCCAGAGTCAGAAGGACGGAAGTGAGTCTGCTATGCTCCGACTCTACCAAAACCCAAGGTCCAGCAACAGGCAAGCAGGTGCAGTGTTCATCCCAGGAACTAAGGGTTTGAACCAGCAACCCACTGGTCACACAACAACTCCCTAAAGTCTGCCACACTCGTCTATCAGAACTGATGAACCTTTCAGACCATCATCATTTATCTCATCACATACTGTATCTTCTAATGTGATTGCTGTCTGAAAACTCAATTGTTTTCTTAGAATTTAAAGATCGACAATGTTTCCTTTTGTTTTGTCTGGTGCCACAAATTCTCTCTCTGAGGCCTCACCTGAGGACATGACTCGGTGGAAATTTCTGACCTAAGGTTAAAAAAAACTCTTCACTAATTAGTTTTTGCTGGAAATGATGTACAGGTCAAAATGTCTCATTAACTATTCAATGGATTTTAATTAAATAACAAGTTTTACAAATCTATTAATAATTTTCTTTATTCAACAGCAACAAAGAGCTAAATTACTTTTAACTTTCTTAGTAAGCAGAGGTATAAGCTGTTGTCTTCCAGAGAGTCACAGGTTTTTATTCAGTCACCAGCTTCATCAACCAAACATTCAAAACCTGTAATAAAAATGGATGGATGAATTCCTAGAAGCCCAGACACCACAGTTCTTTAAAAAAAATTATAATTCGATCAAAAAAGTCAGCTCCATGCATGCAATGAATTTGACTACTTTTTAAACAAACCATTACCATTACACCTTAAACACCTTTCTAAAAGGTTTACATGACACAAACCATAATAATTTAAAGATTGTTGACAACATTGTAAAAACAACAATAGTCACAACTGAACAAGGAAAAACTCCTAGATAGCTGAAAAGATTTTGTCTTTACCGTCTGGTAACTAAAAGAATTTCTAAAGCTGGGTTCCACAAAGCTAGTGAAGAATGTAGGCGTTTCTGTTGGTCTATAAATATATCTTATTGTGCAGACACAAGGACCCAGCATCCTCTGTACTGCTCAGACTGCAGTTTCTGTTCCAGGATCTTCATCCAAACAACAGTTCTGAGCTCATTTCTGATGGTCAGAAATCAACATGAAGTTCTGTATAGCTGTTCTGCTTATAGCATCTTGTCTGTTTGTGCCCTCTATACCGGCAAAACCTCGTAAGTCGGATTTTTCTTCTTCCATGTGTTTCATTATGTTTTTGTTTACATTTTTGTAAAGGGGATTTTTTATGAAAACAAAAATAAAAAAATGCTTAAAATAAACAAAAAATATAGCATGAAAAAAATTATAAGTTTGAC